CTGATGGCGAGTAAAAGTGGTGTGAAGTTATCCTGTAAAATATTAAAAACAGTTGACAATGTGTAAAATTACGTATAAATTTCAAAACTGAATTTAAAAACGTAAGTCTCTTAAAGAACTTAAACATATACTATAAGGTAAATAACAAGCAGCCCCTTCCTCCTCGCCCCTTTGTGCCCCTTCTCTTTAAAAGGTTCCTCCTTGGCCGCCTCGAAAGTTTCCCTGTGAAGTCATTCTCTGAAACTCACTTCAGACATTTGCTGGTTCCAAGAACTTTCGCGTCTATCGCAGTGTGTGTCAGGCATTCTCTAGTTACCTGACTGCTCAACTACTACTCCTGACACTCTAAACACTGCTCCAGAGAGAGCCATTTAGCTGCTGAATCAACTACATTTTTAAGGAGCCACGCTGAGGACAAAGATACCATACTGTCTGCAACATGCATAACCTATCCAGTTACAACAATGACTAATCTCATAAAGCTTGCAGACGTTCCAATGGGAATATGATTATTTGCATGTAAAGAAAAAGTTTTTCTTAAACCAACTTATACATTCTAATTTGAAAACTTCCATCCCACTCTTAAGGGATTATTATAAAATATGAAATAGACTATTAATTAATATAGACTGTCTTTAAAATCTTGAAATATTAATCAAAATATACAACAGGAATTGTACATTCAAATGCTAACAGAGGCAACATAGGTAGCCCGAGTAAGTGAAGGTCACAAGTGAGGAGAGCAAACTGGAGAACACATGCCCTACCGAGAAGGGGCCAGTTCTGCAGAGCAGACCACATAGGAGCCTGGGCTCAAGGGGGACCAGATTTGATTCTTTAGGAGAAGTTCTGAAGTGTAGATTTCTGCACAAGTCTCCTAAATTTTAAATGTTGACTCAATGTGTGGAGACAAACTGAACATATCCAGGGCCATGTTTAGTCTATAGCCCACTTGTGTTTTTATGTTTGCTGTGTTTCCAAACAGTTGGGTATAAATCAAGTATTTGTGTGTAAAACCGTGCCTTTCTTTAGAATCATA